AAACTCATAATCTACTAGAATCTGTTCTAAAAATGTAAAATTTCACTGCTTTTCATCAAAAAACCTGAAATTTTCTAATAGTTACGAACCCATCAAATAGTTATTTATAGTTAAAATAAAACTCTCTTAAAATGACCTTTATTACATGATTCGTATGCATACTTAATCTCAAGAAGTTCTTGGCTATCCCAACAAATAGTTAAATAACTCAAAAGTAAACCCTTAATGATAACAAATGACACTTTATTAATAACAACTAAATGTATGGTAAAGATTACATGAGATGTGTGCTCTGTATGAGAGCTTAGAACAGACTAATTGTTTGGCATAGAGAAGCCATATCTTAAATAGCTATTATTGAGCTAATTGTGAGAATAGGTGAGAAAATGTATGACTGGAAGGTGTACGTGAAGTACATGTGCTGCTGATGACTCGTGTAGAGTATTGTCAAGGATAGGAGTATGTATTGATCGTTACTTTATAATTTGAAATTATCTCAAGAAAATCACTAAATACCAGATAAATTGATTAAAATTTATCAAGAACATTATTACATCAAATATAAATAAAATTTTAATATATCAAATAATAATTTAATTTTTTTGTCCTCCAAATCTCCAAAAATGCCTAATTTTCCATTCTGTCCTCCAATCTCAAAAACAGTGTTGGCAACCCTAATCGGTATAGTAGTAGGTTGACGTGTAGTTTGTAAATTAAGTTTTCAAAAAGAATACTTCAAAATGAGGCCAACCTTTTTGATGATAATCTTTCTGGTCATAGTCTCATACTATGACCTAGCTAAAGTTGACGCTTATTTTTCGTGCAAATATGGTACTAAACCTGGTGACGGACGTAATTATAAAAATTCCGGTTGCCCCCATAGCTATACCTGCGAGAATAAGAACTGTATTTGCAAGAATGAATCTTGCCTATGCCAACATGGTGTCATAAACAATGGTTGCCTCGCTGGTTATGGTTGTCATGGTCAGTCGTGTCATCATCTATCCAAAAATGATGGCGAGTGCAAAAACTACGGGAATTATAAATATTGCGGGGATTATACGTATGCCGGGAAAGGAGTATGCCTCGCAAAGAAATACGGGCGCAAATGACCTCGGTACTAAATGAGAAAAAATAATAATAATTACTAAAAATCTTGTTAAAAATTTAAACACTGTAATTATGTTTAAATTATGTTTTATCAGATTAAAAATAACTATAAAAAAATGGAGTGTAAAATTCATTATAATTATACTTTTACTGCATGTGCCGTGGTAGCTCAATATACCATGGCAAAATATTCATTGTAGTTTTCAGGTTTTGATAAAAATAATTATTAAAAATTAAAATACCGTAAAGCCATGGTAATTATTATGTTCACATTTTAACAATTAAAATTATTTAATTTTAAATATCATTTTTTTGCTGTTTTTTTGTTAGAGTTATCAAAATAAATTAGTTTATTTTTAGTAATATTCTCACCAAGTTCTTTTGCATTTACTTTATTATATAACTAAAATTTTCATGAGTAATAAAAATTATCTTGTTTACTAATTGAATGAACATTTAACCTTAAAAGTTCAAAACAAATACTTCTACTCATATTATTGCAATCATTTAGTCATCGTATGATTTTATTGCTAATCATTTTAAATGTTCAACATCAACTAAATATAATTACAAACATTGTAATTTACAATTTTTCTAAATACTTACTTTACAAAATTTATATTACATTCATAATACGAATATTGTTTGATAATTTAAAATTTCATAAAATTGTGAAACACTAATTTAATTTGTAGTAAGCATGTTTATACATAACAGATTAACCTGTACTATATTAATTACACAATACATGTCTCATAGGTTACTATTACATATGGAATTTTTCTCACCGCTATTCACTTACGTAAACTGAACCCGGTACAAAATATCAGTATATAAGCGAGTTACACTAACCTCGTTAGCAACAGTAATAAAACTGCGATTATTTCATTATTTTACTCAAAAATATTTTATAACAAAAAACCTCAAGTCATGCCTAAAACCGCAACTCTGGTACTGTTGGTCAGCCTAATGGGAATGGCGTTCGCGATCCGGTGTACGTTCGACGCCGAGTGTACGGTCAGTGGGGTTGTGCACCAGTGCGTGAACGGCCAGTGCCAACTGGCCCCTGGCCCGGTAGTCGAGTGTTACCAGGATGTCAATTGCTACGCCTACGGCATATACTTCAAGTGCGAAAACGCCAAGTGCGTTCCCAGTGATCATAAAATATGCCTGTCCGATGCGGACTGTAAGAAAAATAAGCTACATAAGCACTGCAAGGAGAACCATTGTAAATTGTAATGTGTTGTATGTAATTACCCTGTTGTTGTTGATTTAAATTAAAATTTTATTTTTGATTTTTAACTTGTAGTTATTTATAAATTTTATTAAAATGTTTTAAATTGTATGCATTACTGTAGTACTGTAATAGCTACAGTAATAAATGATAATGATAATTATTATTATATCATATTGCAACATTACGCAATTAGTATATTAATATTGTGATGCAGTTAATAGAATTGTGGTCCATGGTGCTTTGCTCACTTAATGCATCTGTAATTAATCAGGATCATAATGATAGTCTAATTACACCAGGTTTGCAAAAATAGTTAAATTCTATCAAATCATAAAAAATATATAAGCTATTAATATATTTTATAATAAAATTATAACATAAACATTAAATTAAAATCTTTATATTTATAAAATGAAATTTAAAAAGCTGATTTATCTAATATTTTATGTTACAGTTAGGTATGTAGTTTATTTGTTAGTCATATTTGTTTTGAATATAAAATAAAAATTTAAACAATTATTTTTAAATATTTAGTAAAATATTTAATTAAATTTTTTAATACTTAATAATTAATTCAAAATTAAATTACGGTTTAAGTCCCGACCGTATTTTATACGCCAGTACAGTTAAAGCTCGTTCGCATATAACGTACGCGGCACAGGTGGGCGTTAAACAGATGACGTTTGATAAAGAGCACGAACTTCATAAAGTAAAACAACTGCATCCCTGTGCTGACATGGTGTTACGCATACGTGTACCTAGAACCTATTCCAAATGGCACCTGGGAACGGCCAACTATTCCAAATATGGTGCCAGTCTACAACAGGTGCGCCCCCTATTGCAAGTGGCTAAGAAACTTGGTGTAAACGTAATTGGTACTAGTTTCTACGTGGGCACTTTGTGTCAACAGGGTGATGCCTATGCCAAAGCCATTGGTGACGCTAAATACGCGTTTGACCAGGGTAAAGAGTTGGGTTTCAATATGCACCTACTTGATATCGGTACATTGTTTAATATTAAATTTATATATTAAATTGTCTTTCATAAGCTCATAATAGTAGGATTAGTATTTAACCATCATTTAAAATTTACCAAGGTGGTGGATTTTCGGGATCCATCAGTGCGCTTAATGAAACCTCGGATCAAATGGCACAGACTGTATATAAGGCCCTGGAGTTATACTTCCCGGCTAACACTACTACTAACCTGACCATTATTTCGGAGTTTGGACGATACTATGTAAACATAAAATTTAATTAGGCTAGCTCAAAAAGTACATACACATTTTTTTTAAATTCGGTAGTATTCCCTGTACCTTTCACTGCCTTATGAAATATCTTTAGTAACCCCGTTAATATTATCGCTAATAATGAGGAATATACTTATATAACATTGCATATTTGTCACCCTGGTAGGTGGACACTGGGTACACATTAGCCGCCATAATAGAGGACAGAAAACGTGTCGAGTTATCCCACCATAAGAGTAATATCCGCACAGATATGCCGTACTATATATACATATACTATATTACGGACGGCGCGCAGTGTGGGTTCAGGAGGTCCCGTTACCAACGCCGGCTCAGTGATCCCGTTCCCCTTAACGCCCATACAGCCAATGAAACATTATAAAAGAGCACAATATGGGGCCCGGCGTACGGTAGTAACCACACGGCCCGAAAGGGCGTTATGCTACCGGAGCTGAGTATCGGCGAATGGGTCTACTTTAGAAATATGGGCGCCTATACATTGTACAACATCGGTGCCGAGTTTATGGCGTTTAAAGTGCCCAGGCAGTTTTTCTATGTGACGGACAGGGCTCGACATTTTATAGACAATATGTTTAATAGGGACAGGATTTTTGCGATTTTAGAAACTGGATTGATCCCGAGTATCCCCGTAATTAAGGGACCCGGTGCTAACAGTACTATTCCCGCGACTGTGGGCACCGTTACCAAAAGTACTATTCAAGCCCCTGTGGGAAACGGTATCAAGAGTACAGTTCCCGATATTTTGGGAGCCATTCCCGTTTTAACAGTACTATTAATTAAAAATAAATTCTTAATAAAGTTTTCTCAACATTATGAATTGCAAAATGACTTATATAAATATGTATTTAGAAATGAATTATTTTTATTTATTTAATTCAAATGTAGATTATTAATATTTGTATCAAGGAAAATACATACATTTCATTCTTGCTAGACGTTTGATTTTAATTGTAGGCCATATTTATTAAT